CTGAAGCCAAAGAAGAGGCTGATGGGAAAGAGGAGGCCAAGTCTGAACCCAAAAAAGGGGATAATAGAGAAGAAATCAAATGTGACTCAGCAGAGGAGGCAACAAAGGAGTCAGAGAAAGAAAATAAGGAGACTTCCTGCTCAGAATTGGAGGCAGAGACCATTTCTGACACTCAAGTCATCCAGGTAGGGGAGCCCAGTTTTTACCTGTTGGGGGTCTCTGAGTATCTCCTCCCTCCACACTTACCCATAGCAGCAAAGAGAGAGGTCTGATCTGGTCCAAGGGGCTACAGGACAATGGCGGAGTGAGGACACTTCTCCCCCCACCAAACAACTTGCAGTAGGTGGGCTCCTGGGAATTGGCTACACCCATGCATGTGCATGCCCAGGACCCACAGGAGCCTGTGTCCTCTCAGGAGGTAGGTGGTACAGATGGAGAGCCAAGCAATGGAACTGAGAAGGAGCAAGGAGAAAGCTCAGCAGCAACTCCTAGCTCACCAGAGGAATGGCCAGAGAGCCCCACAGGAGAAGGACAGCACCTCAGCCCAGGTAAATGCAGCTGTAGAGTAGAGGAGGGCAAAGTTGGGGGGGAGTGTGGGGGGGAGATGTAATGATAGAAAGAAGAGGGAAAGAAAGCACGTTTCCAACAGCCGCAGATGCCTCCTTTCATTTCTCTTCAGATACCACTGGTCCAGAGAGCCCAACAGCCAGGTAAGATTGGGTCTTGGGGCTCCAACCCCCAAGCCCCAGCCCATTCTCTCGCTTTCACCCTTTATACATCGGCCTTCCATCTCCTACCATCTAAGACCATCGGGCCTCTTCAGTCATGCATCCTCCAGGCCAAGGCTGAGTGTCTCTGTATTCCTCCACTGACAATCATACAATATTCCTAAATCCCTGGTGACGCATAACCATTCTGCCCTTGTTTAGAGTGCAACTTAGACTATATTTCGCTTAGATGTGAAGGCATCTTTTAAATGAGGGCTCAGAAGTCCCAATCAAATCCAACAACCATTTATTTAGTACCCATTGTTTGTCAAGTATTTTTTTCTGGGTTCTTGAGGATACAAAGACAAACCCAAGCTAGTCCCTGCCTTCAATGAGCTTATAATCTATCGGGGTACAGGATAAAACAGTGCAAACAGATAAGTTTATGCTAAGATATACTAAGATAAGATGGTTTAAGGAGGAGCAGTTGAGAGAGCAAAAGGCTTTGAGCATCTGAACTTTGAGTTGAGTCTGGAAGGGAAGCAGGGATTCTAAGAGACAAAGATTAGAAGGGAGAGCATTCCCACTGCAGAAGAATGGAAGGCAGCAATCAATTATTCAATCAGCATTTATTAGGCACCTAGTATGCAGCAGGCATGTTCTAAGTGCTGGGGATACAAAAGGAGGCAAAGATAGTCCTTCTCGATGAGGCAGAGTATGCAATGTTGAGTTTAGGGAACAGCAGGGACAGTTTGATAGAGTGTCGAGGGTGTTCGCCTAGAATCCAAGCTCCCTGAGTCCAGGTACTGTTTCACATCTGTCTTTGTATCCCCACGACCAAGCACCATGCCTGGCACATAGGAGGTGCTTAATAGATATTTGTTGATTGATTTTTAAGGCACCTCTCCCTCCAAACCCACCCAGAGCCTATGTTCTAACCTCAGGGACTTGTTGCATACCTCCAGCTTGCAGGGTCCAGTCCCTCTGGACCTCTCCCTTGACTTCTTTCTGTCTGTAGTGACTCCTCCCCCAGTGATGTGCCCCAGAGTCCCACAGGCCTCGCTCCCTCAGAGGAGAAGACTGAGAAGCCGTCAGAATACAGAGTCTCTGCTCCAACCCGACCCCGAGGTCCCAGGGCTCAGAACCGAAAAGCCATCATGGACAAGTTTGGGGGGTAAGAAACTGGCTCACAGGAAGCATTGAGGCTGGGTGAGCCCAAGGTAAAGAGTGAGCCTTCCAGAACATCTCCTTTTGGGGGCCTCCAGGCGCTGGGCCAGATTGGAGTGATGAAAGAGAAAGTGGGGTCCAGGCTGAAAGACTGACAGCTGGAAGCTCCCTGATACAAATAATCGGGAAAGATGGGTTCTGGTCCCCACTCCACCACTGTGAGACCTGGGGCAAGCTATCTCCCTTCCCTATGCCTCAGTTTCCTCCTCTGTAAAACAAAGGGCAGGGGGCAATGTGGTAAAAGAAAAATAGCCCTGATTTGGAATCAGAAACCGTGCGCTAGAATCCCAGCTCCACGCCTGCTCAGGCAGCTGTGTTGCTAACACAGTGAAAAGAATGTTGAGGTTGGAGTCAGGATCTGAGTTCAAATCTTGCCTCAGCTATTTGGTAGCTGTGTGACCATGGGAAAGTCCCTTAACCTCTTAGCCTCAGTTTCTTCAGATGTAAAATGGAGATAGGGTTATGGTGAAGCTCAAATGAGATAACACATGTAAAGTCCTTTTGCAAACCTCAAAGTACTTATATAAGTATTATTATTACTCTCTGTGTAATCTTGGGAAAATCATATCACTTCTCTGGACCTCTTTTTGTTCGTCTGTAAAATGGGAACGAGTGGGTGGCCTCCCTAGTTACTGTTGTTCAGTTGTGTCCAACTCTTCACGACCCCATTTTGGGGTTTTCTTTGCAAAAATACATTTTACCAATGAGAAAATGAGGCAAATTGGGTTAAGTGACTTGCCTAGAGTCACACATCTAGGAAGTGTCCAAGGTCGGCTTTGTTTATTTAAAATTTTTGCATCTAATTCATTAGGGAAATTGGTCTATAATTTTCTTTCTCTGTTTTGACTCCTCCCAGTTTAGGTATCAGCACCATATTTGTATCTGAGGCCAGCTTCGAGCTCAAGGAGATGAGTCTTCCTGACTCCAGGCCTGGCACTCTGTGCGCTGCAGCACCACCTAGCGCCTCCCTAGGGGCAGTTCTAAATCCTGCTGCCCTATGTGCCTAGGATGGTGTCTAAGGTCCCTGCCAGTTCAACTGCTCTCTGGTCTTTAATCCCTTCTTTGCCCTCAGTTCTCCTCTCTTCCAAACAGGGCAGCGACTGGCCCTGCCCCCCTCTTCCGGAACGCAAAGGCAGCAGGGGCAGCTGTGGGCAGCGTCAGGAACATGTTGCTTGAGTGGTGTCGAGCCATGACCCGGAAGTATGAGGTGGGAGCTGCAATAGGTACAGGGGAGAGGTTGGGGCCTGCGGCTCCTGGGGGGAAGGCCAGGGAGCCCCTTCTCCAGGATGGCTTCTGCACGTGCCGTTGAGAGCCAAAGGCTGGGAGAAGGCCCTAGCAGACAGGAGGGCTGGGGAGCGCTGTCCAGCCCTTCCCCTCTGAGCAGGTCGAAGGGCCTGGAACAAGAGATTCACCTTGAGCCAACTTTTCGATTCCTTAGCATGTGGACATTCAGAACTTCTCCTCCAGCTGGAGCAGTGGAATGGCCTTCTGTGCTCTCATCCACAAATTCTTCCCCGATGCCTTTGACTACACCACGCTTGATCCCAAGAAGCGCCGGGAGAACTTCACCCTGGCTTTCTCTACGGCTGAGTAAGTCAGAGAACTTCAAAGGGAGGGTGCTCCTTCGCTCAGGATGGGGGGAATGCTAAGGCAACGAGTGATGGGCATCCCTGGGCTTCAGTTTCCTCATCAATGGACAGAGTGTAGGATTTGGACCCAGAAAGAACCGACTTCAAATCCCACCTCTGAGAGTTACTAGCTGGGTGACCTTGGGTAAGTGAGTTAACCTTTCTGAAGCTGAGTTTCCTTTTTTTTGTAAAATGGGGTTAACAATATCTGTGATGCCCATGCAGCAGGCTTACTGTGAGGCTCAGATGAGAAGTGTGTGTACTATGGAAAGTACTCTATAAATATCAGTTATCGAAGGGACCTGTGCAATGAGGTCACCATACTGTGATATGTAAGGACTTAGCCAGCTGTAACATTGTGTGCCAAGGTCGCTTCTAACTCAAACATTCTGTGTTCTACATTCCAGGGTCCTTTCCACCTCTAACATTCTGCATTCTGGGTTCTAAGGTCCCTTGCAGCTCTGGTATTCTGTGTAATGATGGCCCTTCCAGGGCTCACCCCCATATTTTAATGTCTCTTCCAGTTCTAACGTTCTGTGTTCTATGTTCCAGGGTCCTTTCCACCTCTAACATTCATGTGCTCAGATCCCTTCCAGTTCTAACAGTATATGTTTCCACCAAGGCCAGAGGGCTAGTCCCGACCCAAGTATGTGAAAATTTCCCAAGCTAGGTCTAATGACCTTAGAAGAATCACAAAGGTTCAGGCACTGCCTCCCCAGCATCAGCCCTATCCATGCCCACACTTGGGCAAGACTGAGATGTCCAATGGCCTCCACAGCGTGATGGATTCTTTGGGAAATCTCTGCTCCCAAGAGATAAGGAATTGTCTGAATTCAGATCCTTCCTCAGATATTTAGGAGACCCTGAACAAGTCACTTTACTTTTCAGTCTCAGCTTCTGAGACTTCCTCTGTTTAAGAGCAGTTATAACAGCAGTTACTTCACAGGGTTGTTGTAAGGATCAAATGAGAAAATGCATGCAAAGCACTTTGCAAACTTTAAAGCCTAAGCAGAGTATAAATACTAGCTAGCATTATTACTGTCAGCTGTTTCTAGGCACCACTGGGCAGGATGTCTGAGCTGTGCTCCTCTTCACTTCTGTACTGGGGCACATGGGATCCTGATTCAGAATCCCTGGGTCCCATCCTAGGTACACCCTTACACCTTAGATGTGAGTTTCCTTAGAGGGGAAAACAATAGTATCATATATGTGTATGTACATATATTTGATTAAATATACCTATAAACATTCCATTTTACAAAGCCTCTTACACACAATGTCTTGTTTAATCTGCTCAACACCCACTTAAGATTAATAGTACACGCTTTGTCATAGTTATTGTCCATACGGGAAAGCTGAGGATAAGAGAGGTACAATGCTTGTGAAAAGTCATACAGCTCAGAAGTATCAAAGCTGTGACTTGAATTGTGATCTTCCGGCTCCAAATTGGCCGCCCCACTGTGCTGCTTCATCACCAAATGGGGTCACAGGGGCAAAATGTTCTAGAATAGTAACCAGAGGGGTTTGCATGAAAGTCAAGGAGAGAACTTGCTGAGAGTAACAGGTATGAAAGAGACAGCAGGACATCAAAATGGGGGCTTTCATGGATTTGGAGGCTACCTGCCTCCCCCAAGTCAAATTTTCTTCAGAATATATTATCTTAATTCAGTTGCCTCTGGGAAATCTCAGAATATAAATCTCAAATATAACTTTTGTCTATCTCTCTATAGATGTAGGTAAAAGCTCCTGTGCAAGCATTCAAGGCAACAATGTGTATATGTAGTACAGGACAGCCTTTATTCTGCCCCACAGAAAACATATGAAGGATTCACAGCAGCCCATGAAAAAGCAATACAATTCTCCTCCCTCTCCTATGAGTACTACCTTCCCTAAGGTCCTACATAACCCCTTAGACTTGTAGCACTACTTTGTTGATTAGATTTTGCCCAGAAGGCAAACACAATTAAAATTGCTGGATGAACAACTCTCCTACCTCTGACATCTGGTAAGTCCCATGTATATCCCAGAGATTCAATAAAGTCTACAAGCCTTATGTTACAATCCTGAGGAACTGAACTCTCCTAAAGACAGGAAACATACTTGGAGCTTCTGCGTGTGTGTGTGTGTGTGTGTGTGTGTGTGTGTGTGTGTCTGTCTGTCTCTCTCTCTCTCTCTGTGTCTCTATGTCATCTCTATCTGTCTCTGTGTCTCCGTGTGTCTCTCTCTGTCTCTGTCTCTCTGTCTTGCTGTCTCTCTCTCTTTTTCTCTGTCTCTCTCTCTTTTTCTCTCTCCCTTCCTCACACATACTCTGTAGGTAATCTGAATGGCGCATAATGGCTTATCGTAGGGCTTAGCCCTAGAAAGGACCCTGGAGATCATTCAGTGCAACCTCCTCATTTTCCAGTGGAGACGACTAAGGTCCAGAGAAGGAGCCCCAAGGTCACACAGCACAAGAGGAGGGGCACTGCCATTTGAGCCTGAGTCCTCTGGTGACCGGCGCAGTCTGTGCGGCAGCTATCGCCTGCCGTCCCATTGATCCTCACCCCCTTCCCGTCCTCAGGAATCTGGCTGACTGTGCCCAACTGCTGGACGTAGATGACATGGTCCGGCTGAGCGTCCCTGACTCCAAATGTGTCTACACCTACATCCAGGAGCTGTACCGCAGCCTTGTGCAAAAGGGACTGGTGAAAACCAAGAAGAAATAAGGAGCACGAGCGCCCCCAGCAAGAGCAGCCCAGAAGGACATCTGGTTGATGCTGAGGGCTTCTTCTGGCTCTTCGGCATCCCTGAGCTATTTAGGAGATAACTGAAGTCATGGGGAGGAGAGAGGCAGAAGGGGCAGCAGAGCCACAGGCTGGGCCTCTCAGGGTCCACGCCCCAGCCTCCGATCACACCCCACCCCCACCCCAAGATAAGGAACAGCCTCCACAGAACAGGCCAAACAAACTTTCCTAAGAACACTTCTTCCTGTCTGCTTCTTAACTGCTTAAATCACCTCTCTAGCCTAGCCCATCCTGCACAAATCGTGGGAGGTCTGTGGGACAGATATCGTTATCCCCAATTTACAGATGAGGAACCAGACATCACTAAGGGGCAAATGACTTGACCAAGATCACACAACTCACATTGGGGGCAGGGCTGGAACAAGAACCCAGCTCTTCTGCTCTTTCACAGAATCCTAGATCGTAGAGGTTAGAACTTGTAGGGTCCATACCTGATAGGCGCATAGAAAACTTATTTAGTATTATGTAGTATCTGTTTTCCAGGTGAGGAACCCCAGAGAGGCCAAATAATGCCCAAGAGTAGTAAGCAGCAAAGCTGAAATTTGAACCCATTGCCTGACATTCTATATTCAATGCTTTGGCCACAAGAGACCAGTATGTTCATTACAAACCAGGCTGGGGCTAAACTTCTGGGCAATGGGGACAAACCACACATGCTTACAAGAGGATCAGGGGTTAGAAGTGGGGTGGGGGTGCAATGGATAGAGCACTGGCCCTGGAGTCAGGAGGACCTGAGTTCAACTCCAGCCTCAGACGCTTACTAGCTGTGTGACCCTGGGCAAGTCACTTAACCCCGATTGCCTCCCCACACTCCTTCAAAAGAAGTGGGATGTAAAATGACTGCTTTTCCATCATGCTGAAACTTGTGCTACATCTCTGGCCACTGACAAGTGTCTTCTGGGGCAGTTTGGCCATTCATTCATTCATCATTCATTCAACCAATCATCCATTCATTCACTAGTCATCTGAAAAAGATGGAGGGTTCCCATTGAATGCAAACTCAATATGAAACCACGGTTTTTTGGTAGCCAAGAAGACTAATGTGATGTTGGACTGATGGGAGCACATGGTCCTGAATGTGGGAGACAGCAGTCTCTCTGTATTCTACCCTAGTCGGACTACAGCTGGACTATTGTGCTCAGTTCTAGCCGCCATATTGGAGGAAGGCCATTGACGAGCTGGCTTGGATCCAGAAGAGGGCATCAGGATAGGGATAAGACCATTTTATGAAAGGATCTGCTGAAGGAAACAGGGGTGGTTAATGTGGAGAAGAGTTATAAGGGACCTAATATCTCTCTTCAAGTATTCAAAGGGCTCTTACGAAGGAAAAGGGGCAGCTAAGTGATGCAGTGGATAGAGCACTGAGCCTGGGGTCAGGAGGACCTGAACTCAAATCTGGCCTCAGACATTACTAGCTGTGTGATCCTGGGCAAGTCACTTAACTCTGTTTGCCTCAGTTTCCTCATCTACCAAAAGAGCTGGAGAAGAAAATGGCAAATCACTCTAGTATCTTTGCCAAGAAAACCACAAATGGGGTCATGAAGAGTCAGGCATGACTGAAAAGCAGCTAAACATACACATATGTAGGAAAAGGTTTAGACTTTTTCTGCTTGGCCTCAGAGGGCAGAATCAGGAGTAATGGGTGGATGTGGCAAAAGGGGCAGAATTTCACTGGATGTAAGAAAAAAATAACTTTCTCATGACTAGAACTATCCCAAAGTTGGGAACTCTTTTGGGAAGAAGTAGTTATCACCCTGAAGGTTTTCAAGGAGAGACCAGATGACCATTTGTTGGGGCAGGGAGAGAGACTGTAAAGGAAATTTCTGTTTTGATGTGGGCTGGGCTACATGGCCTATGAGGTTCCTTCCAAATCTAAGAATATCATTCATTCTTTCAAATTTTGAAGTTATATATTTATTAGGGAAAAGAGTGTATCCAACAGCAACGCTTGGTTGTCAGAAACTGCATTTCCCAAGGTAGAAAGAATGCAGGAGTCTGAGAGATACATTCCAGGTTCTAGACTCCTCTCTGCTCGTCCTTGGCAGAAACTTCTTTGTTTCGGTTCTCCTGGTGAGAAAATCTTCCTTCCTCACCCAGTCAGCCCTGTCTCTCTGGGGACCATCCCAAACCTAGCAGTTGTAAGGATTTAGAATTGCAAAGAACCTGAGATAATAATAATAGCTACCACTTGTGAAATCACTTTTCTTTGAAGGTTTGCAAAGTGATTTACAATCCTCAAACATGTATCCTCACAACAACCCTAAGTGGCATGTGTTATTATTTTCTCCATTTTACTGGCAAGGAAACTGAGGCAGACAGCAGTTAAGCCATCTGCTCAGGCAAACACAGCTAGTAAGTGTCTGAGGCCTGATTAGACTTAAGTGTTCCTGGTTCCAGATCCAGTGACCCTCAAGGTAATCTATTGCAACCCCTTCATTTTCTAGATGAGGAATAGGAAGCCCAGAGATGTTCAGTGACTTGGCCAGTTTCACACAGCTGCTAAGCAGCTGGAGCAGGATTCAAGTCCAAGTCTCCAGGTATCATTTCATTGTTCTTCACTCTGATATGACCCCCCTGAGTTGTCACCCAAGAAGCCCTCCCTTCCTCCCAGAGGACTGAACCATTCAATTCTGTGCATCTTGGTGCTTCCCTAGGCTACTCTTAAAGCTTGCCTCCCTTGTCAGGGTCCTATACCTAGACTGGAGCCACTATTTCCTCTTTAGCTGGGTTGTTAAGAAGACAGGGCCCTTCTTCCGCTCTCTCAGAGGCCTAGCTAATTTTATTGAAGAGTGTTTAATCCTGGGGGATTTGCTGATCAAACCAAGCACCTCGTTGAATGCCTGATAAGTGTGGGGTACAATGGAGTACAGTGCCAAGTGCTGTGGAGATCAGAGGAAATCTTAAGACATAGTCTTTGGTATCTCTTTCACCAGCCTTTGGTGGTAGGGAGATTTTTTTTTTATTCTTTAGTCATTTTTCAGTCATGTCCAACTCTTCATGACTCCATCTGGGGTTTTCTTGGCAAAGATACTAGAGTGGTTTGCCATTTTTTTCTCCAGCTCATTTGACAGATGAGGAAACTGAGGCAAACAGGGTGAAGTGACTTGCCCAGGGTCATCTAGCTACTAAGTGTCTGAGGCCGAATTTGAACTCAGGAAGGTGAGTCTCAGGTAGATCATAGCCTTAAAGATTTCAAGCTGGACCTTAGAGGTCATCAAGTGAAGCCCTCTCATTTTAGAGATGAGGAACCTAAGACCCAGAGATGTGAAATGACTGACAGAGGTCCTGGGGGTGGTAGGTGGTAGGGCCAGGATTCTATTGTCGGTTGTCTGACTTCAAAGTCAGCCATCTTTCCTTGGTTCTATCATGCTGCCTCTAGAGGGCCCAAGGGCAGAGGCATGCCGATGGGAGATGTCAACATTTAGCCTCCTCCGTAGCCATAAGGGGACAGGATGGGGCTGAGAAAACAGATCCCCAGGCCTTCCTTGGAGGGGATTAGGAGTGACTTTGAGCAGCCTCCACCCAAGGAGAGATTCCTTGGGGGAGGGGAGGGAGTGCAGCAGTGATTCTCCATCATACTAGGGTGGGGTGTGCTTGGAGCCCTGGGGGATATGTCCAGAGCGATGAGAGCAGCCTGGGAGTAGCTAGGGGAAAATGCCAAGGTCTGAGTGTCAACAGCAAGTGTAGTTCCCCTACCCCCCTACCTTTGTGAAAGGGAGGCCTGGGTAGGGAGGGGTGGGGAAAGGCTCTTCCAGGAAAAGCTCAGGACTGGGAGGGGGAATTCACTAAGGCCCCGGGAAGGCAGAGGGCAAGAACAGCTGTTGTCCCTATCTTTGTCCAGGGGCCCGGAAAAGGGGCAATTACAGGACAGAGCCAGAGTGAACATAGGACTGAGAAGTAGAAAGGACCTTGGTGATCATCTGATGCAACCCCCTCCTTTTCCAGAAGGTGAAACTGAGGCCCAGGGAGAGGTAACAACTAGCCGGAGGTCTCAGGGCTAGAAACCAGATTCTTAATTCCAAGCATGGTACAAATTCTCTATATCCTACTGGCAGAGTCCTCCGAACTTAGAGCACCCAATGGCCCCTGTCTGTGTTGCTGTGCCCAAGGGGATTTTGGTCTCTCACTCAGCCTGCCAATCAGGGCACTCAAAATCCTAATACTAGCTCACGCTTTAATGTAGCACCCAAAGGGTTACCAAAAAAAAAAAAAAACAACTTTCATCAAAACAACTTTGTGTAGGAGAATAAAAAAGCAAGAGCTGGAAGTCATCTAAACCCCTCATCTAACAGATGAGGAGACTGAGGCCTAGACAGGCTAAGTTACTTGCCCAAAGTGATACAGGTAGTGAAGCAGAAAAAACCCACGTTAGAAGCCAGCTCCACTGACTCTAAATGCAAGACTCCTGTCACCTCACCAGCTGCCTTCAATAATTAACTAGCCCGAGATGGTTTCCCTCCATCACCCTCTGAGTTATGGACCCAGCATGCTTCTTCTAAACCACCTTGCAATGCTATTAGGTATCCCCATTTTAGAGATCAGGAAACTGAGGCAGAGAAGATAGTATAGTGAGAGCACGATGGAGTTTGAGTCAGGGGAACCTGAATGCAAATCCTACCTCAGCCACTTACTGAGGAGTTCTTAACTCGTGCCTCTTAACCTCTCTGTCCCTCAGTTTCCTTATCTGTAAAATAAGAGAATTGTACTCAACAGCCCCGAAGGCCTTTTCTAGTTCTAAATCTATGATCCCACAGGGTGGAATGACTTACCGCTATAGCTTGTTGTTATTAAGTCCTGCTTCAGTCATGTCTGACTCTCCATGACCCCACCTGGGGTTTTCTTAGAAAAGATACTGAAACGGTTTGCCATTTCCTTCTCCAGTTCTCTCTCTCTGATTTCTTTTGAGGTTTTCTTGGCAAAGTTGCTGGAGTGGTTTGCCATTTCCTTCTCCAGCTCATTTTACAGATGAGGAAACTGAGGCAAACAGAGTAAAGTGACTTGCCCAGGATCACACAACTAGTAAGTGTCTGAGGCCAGATTTGAACTCAGGAAGTTCCTGACTCCAAGTCCAGCACTCTATGCACTACACCACCAAGCTGCCATGCAGCACCCACCGCCTAGCAGCATGGCCTAGTTAAAATGAAGGTATAAGATCAGATGTCTTCTAAGGCCCTGGACAGCTCCAAAGCCATGATTCTCTGACACTAGGTTCAGAGGCTCTTTAGAGATCCAGTTCTTTTTGTCAATTTGACTCTGTCACTTAATACAACCAAAAATGTGTTAAGTGATATTGTGTGCCCAATATCATGCTAAGAGCTAGAGGACGTAAAAAGCTGAGGGACACAGCCACAGCCCTTTCCAGCCAAAGAGAGGGACAAGACAATAACCCAGATTATAGAGATTAGTGTATTAGAGAGATGCAGGGCAGCGCCATGTGAGGTCTGAGGCAGGCAAGGTCTTATAGACAGAAGGCTCCCCAGAGGTGGTACAATCAGAGCAGGGCTTTTAAAGGCAGATGGCAACAGAAGAGAAAAGGGGAGGGGATTTCAGGCACAAGGAAAAGGACCACAGGCAGGGCCATAGAAGTGGGACTGTACAGTATGCTTCCAGGAGCCAGAGTTGTTTAGCTTGGTGCATTGAGTCTATAAGAGGTAGTAACACGAGAGGAAGAGAAGGCAGGAGAGGCAGCTGCTTATGGAGGGTAATTTGCAAATACCGTTCAGAGGAGCTCGGATTTCACCAGGAGGGCAATAGCAAGCCACTGAAAATTACTGAGCAAAGGAGTGGTGTAACCAGATCTAGTCAGTCCACCAGCAAGCATTTACTATACACTTACTATGTGTCAGGCACTGTGCTTAGTGCTGGGGATACAAAAAGAGGCAAAAGACAGTCCCTGCCTTCATGGTGATCACAGTCTAATGGGGAAGACAAGAAGCAAACAAATACTACAAATCAAGCTCTATTCAAGATAAATAGGAAATAATTAACAGAGGGAAGGTACTAGAATTGAGACGGGTTTGGAAAGGCTTCCTGGATAAGGTGACGTTTTAGTTGGGACTTGAAGGAAGCCAGGAAAGACAAGAGGCCAGGAGGAAGGAATGGATGCATTACAAGCATGGAGGATAGCCAAAAGAAAAAAGAAAAAAAAAAAAAGATGCCCAGAGCAGAGAGACAGAACAGCCAGGAAGCCAGTGTCACTGGATTGAAGAGTGTCAGAAAGCTTGAGGGGATGTGAGGGTTATGAAAGGTTATATCTAAGTTATGAAAGGCTTAGAATGCCAAACAGAAGATTTGTATTTGGTCCCAGAGATGATAGAGAGGCACTAGAGTTGAGGGTCTAGGTGGGTGTCATGGGTGAACCTGAGAGAAAAGGAAGAGAGAAAGATAACCTGCAGGTTCCTCCCTATCTGACCCCAAGTCATTTAACCACTTAGAGCCTCAGTTTCCTCCTCTGTAAAACAGGGAGAATAATCTTTTATTTGTTTCAAGGCAAGAAGCTGGGTCAGATGACTTCTTGCAACCTCTCTCGGCTCTAAGATCTGGGTTCTAGAAGAAATGCACTGCCAAAGTCACTACAGCTCTCATCAGAGGATGCCCCACCTACCCCATTAAGAGGGGTCAAGTGGTATGGTCAAAAGGGCTCTGACTTTGGAGTAAGGAGACTTAAGTTCTCTCTCAGCATTGGATGCTAGCTGATTGAGCTAGAAAAGTCACTTTGCCCCTCTAAGCCTCAGTTTCCCTATTTGTAAAATGAGAAGAGGAAAAGATAACACTTATTTGAATTGAGTCTTGAAAGATGACCCTCATAAGACATTGTACAGATAATACCTTGTATATTGTAGAGCATCTTATACCATGTAAATAAAGTCTAAGTGAGAATTCTCTTCCTACTTAGGTTAGGAGAATGAGGGAAAGCAAAACTGGTTCAACCTAACCCCTCAGCCCTGCTAGAAAAAATAACTCAAGGAATATTAGTATTTTCTTTTCTTTTCTTTTAAATTAATTTATTTTGATTTATCAACAATCACTTCCATAAGCTTTTGAGTTTTAAATTTTTCTCCCCCTCCCTCCCACCCCTCTCCCCAAGACGGCTCACAATCTGATATAGGCTATACATATACATTCCTATTAAACATATTTTCACATTAATCATGTTGTAAGTAAGAATTAGAACTAATAGGAGGAACCACCAGAAAGAGGAAACAAAACACAACAGAAGAAAAAAAATAGCAAATAATATGCTTCTATCTGCATTCAAACTCCATAGTTCTTTTTTCTTTATGGATAGCATTTTCCATCACAAGGCCCTTGGAGATGTCTTAGATCCTTGTATTGCTGAGAAAGGTTAAATTTATCAATATTAGTCATTATACAATGTGGCTGTTATTGTGTACAATGTTCTCTTGGTTCTGCTCACTTCACTCAGCATCAGACCATACAAATCTTTCCAGGTATTTCTGAAGTCCACCTGCTCATCATTTCTTATAGCACAATAGTATTCCATTACATTCATATACCACAACTTGTTCAACCATTCTCCAGTTGATGGGCATCCCCTCAATTTCCAATTCTTTGCCCCACAAAAAGAGTTGCTATAAATAGTTTTGTACATGTGGGTCCTTTTCCCATTTTTATGATCTCTTTGGGATATAGCCCTAGAAGTACTATTGCTGGGTCAAAGGGTATGCACATTTTTATAGCCCTTTGGGTATAGTTCCAAATTACTCTCCAAAATGGTTGGATCATTTCACAACTCCACCAACAATGCATTAGTGTTCCAATTTTCCCACATCTTCTCCAACATTTATCATTTTCCTGTTTTGTCATGTTGGCCAATCTGATAGGTGTGATGTGGGAATATAAGTATTTTTGAAGATAAATATTTCAAACTTCAGCCTTCTCTTCCCTAGATGGTCATCCTAATTCCCTCAGCTGTAGATCTACCTTTGGGGTCCCTGTCTGCTCAAAATGCTTCCTTCTACAGACCTTATACCTAGAAGGAGCATAGAACCATGGGAGTTTAAAGCAGACTGACTTTGCAGGGTGAAGGTCAGGTTTCCATCCCTGCCCTCAGGGAGCTTGTAACACAAAGAGAAGTCATTTATTCCCCCAAAAATGTTTTTTAATCACCTGAAAGTTGCAAGACTGGTGATACAAAGATACATATGATGTGGGGTTTGGGGTGGGACTAATGCTTCATGAACCTTCTGCCTTCTCCCTTCACCACCAGAGTTCACAACCACTCTATATCTACCCTCTGATCCACTGTGATTCTTGCCCATGTCTTTCCAGAAATCTGCCAAAGATAATGGTGTTCCTCCTACTTCCTTCCTACCTGTGAGACAGCGGGCAGCTCACTTCACATTGTCTGGGCCTTCATTTCTGTATCTGTAAAGTGATAGCCTTGAAGAAGATGGCCTCTAAGGTTGATTTCATCTCTAAATATGTAACCCTGGGAGTACCTGGTTCTCTTGAAGCCTGCTGCCGGGGGAGGAAGAAGGGGCAAGTTCAGCAAGCACTGTGATAGAAGGGAGAGACAGACAGACAGTCGAACAGAGATCTGGACAAAACATTGTCAGAAATGGGAGGAAGGAGAGCTCACTTCACCTGAGGAGTCAGGGCAGGCTTCCTGGAGAGCATCTGCGCTGGGCCTTAAAGGAAGGGAAGAACTTTAAGAGATGAAGAAGAGAGAGATAGGAAGAATCCTCTCTACAGATGGGGGATGAGCTGAGGCAAGATGGCAGCAGTGGTACTGTAAAACTCAACTATCAGCCAATCTTCTGGAGCTATAGAATTGATTAGCCCAATGGTTAAAAAAAAAAAAAAAAGGAGAAAATGAAGCATCCAAAATGTGCCTTCTCTAACAGCAGAGTAACTGAATTCAGCTTAGTGTTTTAAACTTTTCCCCATATACCATCTACACATATATCCCCATTCCCATTATACCCAGGCCTGCCCTTTAAGATCTTCTTTCTGGTCCCCGTAGGCCATTTTTCTAAGCTGGCCCAGACCTTGAAACTAGAATCAAGGGACCCATCCCTACCCAGGAGGACATGTCCATTCATCAGACAAGTGGTTCTTTGTGGAAAAGTCAAGTAGAGAAAAGGCGAGGAGACAGCCGGGATCACTGGCTAGTAAACCGATCTTCCCCAAACTGGAGAGTGAATTCCTTGGCATTCTTCATGAACTGTGCTGGGTTCTGAACGTACATGTCAGCAAGCTCTGCCCGGAGTGGTAGATCTTGGTTAGGTATGTTCAACTGTAACGCGAGCGCCTCCAGCACTGGGGAGAGAAATGAATGAATGAATGAAAAAATGGTTGTTAATGCTTACCATGTGCTAACTGTGCTAAGTCTTGGGGATACAAATACAAAAGCTCCACAGTTCCTGCCCTCAAGGAGTTTTTGTTCTAATGGAGGAGACATACATGTGGGGAAGTGAGGGTAAAGGAAATATTTTGCTCTGAGAAAGAGCCAGGAGTCAAAGTTGAGGAAAGAGACACTGGCAAAGGGATAGCCACTGGCCACCCAGTCCTTGGGGCAACCAGCCTACCATACTACACTCTCTAAATCCAGAGCATCCTCCCAGCTGTAGAGTTAATGGTGCCTCCCAAGAAGTCCAGTCTTAGATGGTGCCTCCAAACCCACTGAATCCCAGCACCGACTAGCTCCTTTGATCACGATGCCCAAAGTCCTAATTACTTCCCTTGCCACTCTTGCCCATAACACCTCCCACTAAAAATTAACTCTCTGTAGTTGCAAAGAGCTACCCACCAACTGGCAGAGATGGTTGAACAGACTGTGGTATATGAGTGTGATGGCATATTATGGTGCCATAAGAAACAATGAGTATGAGAGACTTGGGGAAACACGGGAAAACTTTATCTGCTAATTCCAAGTCAAGAAAGCCGAACCATGAGAACAATTCACACAGTGATGACAATAATGGTGCTGAAAACAACTCAAAAAGGGAGCTGAGTTAAGATCGTATATGACAGCTCATTTGGTTCCAAATGCTTGATAATGAAACGCACTTCCCTCCTTTTCATCAAGAGGTGGTGGACTCGGGGGCAGCTAGGTGGCACAGTGGATAGAGTCAGGAGGACCTGAGTTCAAATCTGGCCTCAGACCAAACACTTGACACTTACTAGCAGTGTGACTCTGGGCAAGTCACTTAACCCCAATTGCCTAAAAAAAAAAAAAAAAAAGGTGGTGGACTACTGTTACAGAATCTTGCATGTGTTGTCAGGCACAGCCACTATATTGGCCTGTTTTGGTTAACTGTTTTTCCTTCTCATAGTAGAGGGTACTGTGGCAGGTGGGACAGTATTGGGAAAGGGTAGTAGTATAAAAAACAAACAAAAAATCAATGAAACATTTTTTTAAATAAAAAGAAAACTAACCCAGAATCAACCAGGAATCCTTGTGGACTGGTCAGTTTAGACCAGTTCAGGACCCATACCTTGTGATCCTTTTTTAACCTAAATGTGGCTTCCCCTAGGACACACCTGGTTTGATCCTCGCCCTCTCAGGCTCCACCAGTTCTAACACAATCTAGCATGACTCTCTTATCTATGGTCCATAAGCCCATCCTACCCTGTGAGTCACTCCCCAAAGAAGCCCAGTCCTTGGTGGTTGGAACAAGCCCTGGAGCCCACCTTGGTAGATTTTGGTACAAGCAGTCCAGTTCCTATTGAGGATGGGCAGGCACACCTCTCCATTCTCAGACACATTGGGGTGATATATCTTGGTTATGAAATTCAGCTGGGGAGGGCTGAAAGGGTAGTTATGTGGAAAGGTGATTCTGAACTTGAAAGCCCTAAGGTTATAGGGCTCTTGGTCCTGAGAGAAAAGAGAAGAGAGAGGTCATAGCTCTCCTGGGGACTTAATGCTATGCAACTGATTGTGTTCAGGATTAGAGAATTAGAGTTTAGAAGTCCTCCTCATCTTACAGATGAGGAAACTGAGGCCAAGGAACATAGAATGATTGGTCCTAAGTCAAATAGGTGGTAAGTAGCACAGCCAAGATTGAAACCTAGGTTCCCAAATTCAGTGATCTTTCCACCACACCAGGCTGGGGGGGGACAGGGAGGAATTGAAACCCAAACCCACAGCACCACCTTGTACATCTGGGATACCCAATCTCAGGCCCATTTGAATTCAGGAAATGATTACTGGGTAATACACTATAATAGCGGTTTGTAGGAATAAGGATAGTAGCTGAAGTTGGTACCACACACTTGAAGTTTTACTGACTACATTCCTCATAGTAAGCCTGTGAGGCAGGTTGTCCAAGCATGCGTATCTCCACCTTACAGATAAGGAAACTGAGGCTGAGGGAGATAGAGCCACTTGGTCGAGATCACACACCTGGAAAGTGCCACGTCTGGGACTCACCGGGAGGAGCACCGCATTCCATATAAGCACATTGGAATTTTCACTGCACAGGTCCCGAAGGTAACTTGGTAGGTTTTCCTGCATGGCCTCCAACTCCTGCCAGACAAATACCAAGAGAGCCACTCTTCTCACCAACCCCACCCCTCTCTTTTCAAACCCCTCCATCTTCAGCAGCCAGCTTTCTTGTGCCTGGGACAGGGACAGGAGAGGCTCAGGATCAACCCTCTTGGGGAGAAGGAAAAGAACCAAAGTAAAGGGAGTAGACCAAGAAGATCTCTAAGGCCCTGTCCAGCTAGACAGCCTATGGATATGACCCAGCTCAGTGTTCCTATCCTTATTAAAGGCAGTGTGGGGTAATGGGTAGAGTTAGAACTGTAGTCTGGAAAACTAGGTTCAAATCCAGCCTCATCACTTCCTAGCTGTGTGACCATGGACAAGTCACTATACATCTTGAAGCCTGTTTCCTTATCTGTCAAATGGAGGATAATGATGTTTGCGATATCTATCTCACAGGGTTGTTGTGAAGTTCACATGAAATCACGTATATAAAGGACTGGAAATTTTGAAGGGTGATATACATGTGCCTATTATTATTAATTGCTAAAACTCATAGGATCTTAGCACAGACCTCAGAGTCTATCTGGTTTAAGCCATACTCTAATAAGGATCTCCTATAAAAATAATAATTAATATTCATATAGAGTCTTAAGGGTTGCAACATGGGTTAGCCCGTTTGATTTTTCACAACTCTGGGGAGTAGGTACTGCTATTATCATCCCCATTTTACAGATGAGGAAACTATAACAAGTAAGGGTTAAAAGACCTGCCCAGGGTCACATAGCTAATTTCTGAAGCAGGATTTGAAGCCAGGCCTTGCTAATTTCAAGCCCTACATTCTACTTATAGTGTTACCTAGTTGCCCTGGTCAGCTGTGCTAGGCTGCTGCTGCTGCTGCGTTTTTGAAGAGGACCAGTGATTTCTCAGATGAAATGGATTTAAATGAGGCAAAGTTAGCTGCCTCTCCCTCTCTTCCTGAGTGATCCATCCTTTAATTGAAGACTCACTGGAGAGGAGCCCATTATCTCCCAAGGCAACCCATTCCATTTTGAGATGGCTTTATGTTAGGAAGCTTTCCCTTATATCAAGTCTTATTTCACCTCTTTGTAACTTTTATCCATTGTTCCTGGTTGCAAACAGAACAAAAGTAATCTTCCACATGACAAACCTTCATAGACTTGAAGACAGCAATCATATCTCATTCCCCACCCCTCCACCCTTACCTCCCACCCCAAGTTTTCTCTTCCCTAGTTAAAGATCCTCAGTTCCTTTAACCAATCTACCTACAGTGTGCTATGAATTCTATACCTTTCACCAGAGTAGTCAACAATTTCTGGATACTCGACATCTTATCAATGTTCTTCAAAAAACATGCCGCTCAAACTGAACTCCAGGTGTGGTCTGACCAGGACGAAGCAAGTGAGCATTATCACCTCCCTGGTTCTGAGCACTAGGTCTGTCTTAAGTACTGTTTTTGAGTCATTTCAGTTGTGTCCAACTCTCCATGACCCCATATGGGGTTTTCTTGGCAAAGATACTGGAGTGGTTTGCCAATTCCTTCTCCAGATCATTTGACAGATGAGGAAACTGAGGCAAACAGGGTTAAGCGACTTGCCCATGGTCATACAGCTAGTGTCTAAGGTCACATTTGAACTCAGGTCCTCCTGACTCCAGGGCCAGCACTCTTTTTACTGAGTCACCTAGCTGCCCTGTCTTAAAGCAGCCCCAGATAAAATTGGCTTTATCACATTTGCCATATCACAGTGTTAATTCCTATTGAGCTTGTAGTTTTATATATAATTATAAACAAATATAATAATTATAATTAATTAATATAAAATACAATACACAAATTAATATAATTAAATTATAATTAAATAAATGATTATGATTATAAATAATTATAATTATAAATGATATAATATTATAAATAGTTATATAGAACATATATCCTATTGAGCTTGTAGTTTAAAAAAAAAGATCTTGAGGATCTAGCCATGGCTCCCCTCAACCACACCCATCTTATATTTGTAAAATTGATGTTTCAAAACCAAGCCCAAGATTTCATTTTTTCCTATAGTTTTCATCATGTTTTAATTAGTCCAACATTCTAGCTTATTGAGAACTTTTGGGATCCCGACTTTGTCCTTTAACATGTCAGCTATTTACCTCCACTCTTCTCACTCACTCTGTCTCCAGCTTCAGTTTTATGTCTTCAGATCTGATAGCCACAGTTATTTATGGTTTTATCCAAGCCATTGATAAAAGTATTCAACAGTATAGATCCCTCTGTCACAGCACTAAAGATGTCACTTCAATGTGACTGGTAAAGATGACTCTGACTCTAGCTATTCACCTAGGTCAGATTCTACCTAACTTCACTGTAGATTTGACCACATCTCTCCATCTGGTCTACAAAAATATCCTGGGACACTTTATTAAGTGCTTAGCTAAAATTTAGAGTTTGTGTCCAGGTATGTGTGTCCACATTATAGAGGAGTGTAGATTTGGCTAGATGAGACCTCGGAGGCCATCCAGGCCAACTAAAGCTCAGGAAACCGAGCATATTAGAGGCGGGATATGAACCCAAGTCTTCCTGACTCCAAGTCAAGCACTTTCCTCTTCTCTGTCACAAAATCTAAGTAACTATGTCTGAGACAGGTCCCTCTTCTACCAGTCGGGTAACCCTGTCAAAAGAGAAAATGAGGTTAGTGTGACATAGCTTCTTCTTGATATGATCACTGCCTCCTTTTCTCAATATTCACTAAACATTCCTTCCATAGCATGTTCTAGATTTTTACCAGGAACTTTATCCCATAGAATGGTGTCCATTCCTCTGAGACCTCAATCATTCTCCACAGCCTTTTGAGAACCATAGACAATGGCTCTTCAATTACATCTGCCATCTTTTTCATACCCTGTGATATACCTTGGGCCTGGAGATTTGAACTCATTCAGGGTAATTAATGCTCTCTTACCATCTCCCTACTGATTGTTTATTTCCACTCCCTTTAAGCCATTTTTATCCTCTCTTTTCTAACTCAAAGATCATTCTTCTAGACAAAGGAAAAAAAACCACTAAGCAGTTCTGCCTTGTCTCCCTCCTTAGCAGCCATCATTTTTCCATCAACATGAGCAGGGGTCCTATTCCTTCTTTGAATTCCTCTGTCTGGAACACAGCTATTTTTTTTAAACTTTTTTTAAGGTTATTTTTCCATTTCCTCACCCAATCAACTCATTCTGAGTTTTAATGTTTGTGATATTTTTCTCACAAGACAGTTTAAGGCTTGTATATTCACCCTTCACCACCTGTCACTGCCTCCATCTTCAATACATGCCTCTTAAAATTTCTGGGCCAGATCATAGCATCTTAGATTTAGAACTACAAAGGACCCTAGAGGTCATCATATCCAACCCCCCTCATTTTCCAGTTGATGAAACTGATCACCAGAGAGGCTAAGGGACTTGACCAGGGACACCTAGACAGTATGGTCAGAGGTGAAACTTGAGCTCGAGTCTTCCTGCCTCCAAAGCCACTATCTATATTCACTACGCTATACTTCATGAGTTTTAAAATCTAAGTAGGTTGACGAGTTGAGCTTTGTAACCATGATAGTCTCCTTGGACAGTTCCTTGTTTTCTGTATCATAAGACCCCTTTCTATCTGTGAAATTCTCACAATTTCTGTATTGAGAGCTTCCTATCCTTCCTGAGCTCTAGTGCCCTGTAGAAATTTAGGCCAAGGAATATGGCTTTTTCTTTTTTTTCCAGCTTTTCCTTCCTCGGCACCATATGAAATATTCTCTCTAAAAATCTAGGATGATTCTTAGACAATGCCCAGCTTTTTTCTTCTCCACAGCGAATTCAATTCAAGCAAGCATAAAATCAGTCAACAAGCAGTTATTATGCATCTATTATGTGCCAGGTACAAAAGGTATCATGGCCTAGTGGATAGAGACCTGAATTCAAATCCTACCATTGATAAATACTGGCTGTTTGACCCTGGGCATTCCTGAAATACTCACCCTCTTCATCTTGGCCACTTAGCTTCCCTCCCTTCCTCTAGGGCCTGGTTCAAATCCCCTTCTGCAGGAGGGCTTCCCTGATCCTTTCATTTCTCCTTCTACCCCTCCCCCTAATGTCTTCTGTCTAATATCTAGAATATGCGTATAGTAAGTACAAAGTTTATAAACGTGTGTGTATATACGTCTGTGTGAGAGAGAGAGAGAGAGATTCTTTTTTTTTAATATATTGTTTTTGTATATTGTCTCCTCCATTGGAATGTGAGCTCCATGAGGGCAAGGACTGTTTTTTGCCTTTCTTCGTATCCCCTGCACTTAGCATACTGCCTGACATATCATAAGTCCTTAATAAATGCTTTTATACATATGTGTGAATGTGCATATCTAGGCACTGGGACATAAAGGAAAAACCCAACATATTCCCTGCCCTCAAGAAGCTAACATTCCATTGGGGAGATAATTTGTACATATACACAGTGAGTATATAGAAAATAAATACCAGGTAATTGAGGGAGAGAGGGCTTTAACAGTTGAGAGATCAGGACAAGCTTCATGTAGAAAGTGGCACCTGAACTGTCTTGAAGGAACAAGCATTTATTAAATGCCCACCATGTACCAAGTGAGGGCAGCTAGGTGGTGACATGGACAGAGTGCTGGGCCCGGAGGCAAAAACACTCATCTTCCTGAGTTCAAATCTAGCCTCAGACACTTACTGTCTGTGTGACTCTGGGCAAGTCTCTTAACCCTGTTTGCCTCAGTTGCCTCATCTTCCAGCTCTAAATCCAATGAAATCCACAGTCCTAACTCACTGCTCGGCATCAGGAAAGTCCTTAATTTTCTCAAGTGAAAAAAGAGAACTTGGCTAGACCATCTGTACATCCCCTCTAGCTCAGACATTCTCTGGCTCTACTTTTGACTTCAAGCATGAACACTGAGGAACCTACCGGCAGTCCTGATAGGAAGAAAATTTGTCCCTATTTTGCCACAAGTTTGAGAGTTTCTTTGTAGGAAACAAATTCAAACCCAAACCCCAAACCAAAACCTTGCACTCCTGTTCTTTCCTGAAGCCTTTCATTGTCAGGGAAATAAGCTGATTCAGAAGAATAGAAAGTGAAACTGACCAGATCATCTTGGCCTTGTATCCTGAACACCTCATTCCTTCACCCTTAAACCCACCTTCCAAGCTGGAAAAAGAAGGAGGAGGAAGAGCAGAAGGAGGAACAGGAGGAAGAGGAGGAGAAGGAGGAAGAGAAGAAGGAGAAGGAGAAGGAGGAGAAGGAGAAGAAGGAGGAGAAGATATTTATTGGGCTCTAGCTATTCATAAAAACTATATTAAAACTAAAACTAATCATTTTAAAATATTTATTCAAATAAAATAACAATAATCCTATAATATGTTAACAGATAGCATGCTTTTATGAAAAATAACTAATTTTCCAAACAAAAACATTTTAACGAGGACTAGCATGGTTTTATATATTTTGCTTAATAGAAGACGGCTGTATTCTCACATCTGCTTCTGTATTCAATCTGTTGTGATCTGGTGTTTCAGTTAAAATATATGAGAAAATCCATCTTGAAGCACATGGACAGATACATAGCTAAAAAAGAGAGAAGTATTTAAATAGTCAAAGAACATCTTAGCATTATTGTGAAAAAAAATTTCTGACCTTTCAGTTCTCCTGAAAGGGTCTTGGGGACCCTCAGAAGTCCTTGGACCACACTCTGAAAACTCATGGTCTGAAAGGTTAAGAAACTTGTCCAGGATCATACAGTGTGTGGCTGAGGCAGGACGTGAACCCAGGTGTTTCTGACTGAGAGGTCAGCTGTCTACCACACTGCTTAACAACAACAATTCTGCAGCCCTTTAAGGTTCACAAAGAGCTGCACATATATTATCTCCTTTGTAGTAAATATCAAAGCTGAGATGGGATCTTCATCTTTTCACAGCTAAATACAGTGCTGTTTCGAGGATGCCACTGTGCCTGCCCGTATCCCAGCAGGCCTGGTCCCAAGATGGACAATGCCACACAGACCAGGGCTCTAGGAGTCTGCCAAGGGAGATTCTGCCCCAAAGTCCGACCCACTCCCAGCCAACTCACTTTAAATCACAGAGTCGTAGGATTAGGCTTTACAAAGATCTTTGGAGAGCGTCCAGACCAGCTCTCTCCATCTGTGCAGTAAAGTGAAGCTAAGGGAGGGCAAGGATGTCTTTTTGCCCCAACCTCACAGGTAGCAAGTTCGGAATCCAGTGCCCTTCACCTCGCCCCCATCTATGAGAAAGCGAGGCTGGTGACTTTGCACAGCCCTCCCTCACTTAAATCCCATTCACTTGCACGTCATGGCATGATCTCCCTGACGTCAAGGTCCTCTTCGGGAACGAAGGACAAACAACAACGACGACAACGACATTCTATATAATTGGAACGTGAGATCCTTAAACACAGCAACCCTGTTTTTGCCTTGAGATGCCTGGCACATAGGAAACCCTTAATAAAAGCTCGTTGACTGATTATCTCCGTTTGGGGAGCGTGGTCATTTCTAGCCGGGAAATGAAACTGAAAGAGATTCAAAAACAGGCTGATGGGGAGCCCAGGGCTGGTGCACCTCAGGAAGACCCCCGGAAGCCCTCTGCGTCCGCCCCTCCGATCGAGCTCCCGTCGCCTCTCCGCTGCCCCCCTCACATGCCACTTCTCTGATGAAGGGATGGATTCAGGAGGGAAGGGACAGAGGATCCTAGCGTTGGAAATCTAGGGCCAGCCCAGGGAATGTTGCGCCTCTCCCGGTGCACGGGCAGATGAGGAAGCCCAGAAGGAGGACAGAAAGAGCGAGCAGTGGTTGGATGTGGGGGTGGTGGGAGTCCTGGGAATGGGGTAAAACGGGGGCCAGGAGCCTGGGAAGAGGGGGTGTAAGAGAGTAGACAGTGCCGGGCCAGAGGAAGAGGGCTCTCGAGGCAACCCCTGGAACCCCGGGGTGGGGGGCGCGTTCCCCCCTCCCCAGCTCACCCCGGCCAAGAGCGTTTACCTTCGCAGCGCGCTTGCTGGCGGTCATCTCTGGGGATGTGGGGGCTGGAGGCGGCGGGAACCCCTGGCTGACAGAGAGGCGAGGGGGATGGGCTGGAGCCGGAGGTTGGGGGCGGGGTCACCCTGCAAGTGGTCTCGAGGTCTTGCCCTGGAGCAGAAGTCGAGCGCTGCGTTCAGATTCTGCCTCCGGCCAATTTTCTGGGTGATCTTGGGCTAGGCCCTTCCTCTCTTCTGAGTTTCTGTTTCCCTACTTGTAAAACGAAGGAATTGACTGGCGTTATCTTTGAGGTCTCTCCTCCCTTTGAGGTTTTGGTGATACCCCGCCCCCGCCCCGCCCCCGCCCCTTCTCTCCTCGGCACCGCCTCCCCCAGTCCCGGCGGCAGGGCCACTCTCCAGACCCAGTAGGGCTGAGAAGATGCTGAGCACTTTAGCGGAGCTTCTAGCTCCCAGACCTGGAGACAGCGGCCAAGCAGAGTCTGACAAGGGCCTCACTTACCTTGGCATACAAATATGAGCAGCGCTGAGAAATAATCTAGAATATAGTACTCCCCCTTTATTCAAGAGGTGGGGGTCTACGGGCATGGATTATTGCAATACTGTCATACTGTAGATAAGTTCATTGATTTTGACAAACATTTCTTTTTACTTTTCAAACTCTGTTACAAGGAATGTCTCGATTGGGGCGGGGGGGGGGGGGAAGGGGAGCAGCTAGGTGGCAAAGTGGGTAGAGCACCAGCCCTGGGCTCAAATCAGGCCTCAGATACTTACTAGCAGTGTGATCCTGGGCCAGTCACTTAAACCCGATTGCTTCTAAAAAGAAAGAAAAAGAAAACCTTAAAGTGCTATGCCAAATGTTGGCTTTTATAAAATACACAAGAAAGCAATAAAATACAGGAAAGATCACTGACCTTCAAATAGGGAGACCTGGGCTGGGAGCTTTACTCAGCCCCTTTAACTTGATATGTGACCTTGAGTCATGCCACTCAGAAATACAGAGTAGGAGGGGGCCCTCAGAGATCATCTGTTCCAAGGCTTTCATTTTTATAAATGGGGAAAATGAGGCCCAGAATCAGGAAATGGTTTGTTTCAGATTTACACCAGGAGTTTGCTATTAATAATGATGTGTTCTTGGGCAAGTCACTAGCCTACTCTGCTGTCAATTTCTTCCAGCTCTAAGATCTATTATAATCTTTTAGAGTTCTCTTCCTTTGCTTCTGTGCCTCTCTCCAGAATTCTGTTGTGAAAGATGGATTAGCTTCAAAAAGACACTTTTCTCCGGTCACTATTCCCCTAATAGAATGTAAGCTCCTTGAAGGTAGAGATTGTCTCAATTTTATATTTGTATACCCAGCACTCATAGATGTTTTCCCCCTTTTTTAATTTTTATTCTCATTTTTATAATAAAACTAGCATTTCCATATACATTTTGGAGTAGACAGTAAAGACTGTACATGAAACTTCAGTTCTCTATTATGCAGGGTTATATACAACTTGCTTTTCTTTTTAAATACATAATACATTCAACAAATAACTTTCAAGGCAGTCCTACTTGTCTTTGATTATTTCTGGTCTTCTATACTCTTCTCATTTGGAGTAGTGGGTTGGAAATGCTACTATCCCTAGCCCTCCTCTTCCCACCCCCATGGTGGGGAAAGGAAGGCAAACCCCTTGTGCCAAATATTCATAGCCAAGCAAAGCAAATTCCCCCATTGGCTATGTCCAAAAATGTATATCTTCTTTTGCATCTTCAATCCATCAGCTCTCTGTCAGGAGGCGGTTAGCATATTTCATCACTAGTACTTTGGAATTATGGTTGCTTACTACATCAGAGTTCTTAAGTCTTTCAAATTTATTTTTCTTTGTATTGTTGTTATTGTATAAATCGTTCTCTTGGTTCTGCTCATTTCACTCTGTATCAGTTCACATAAGTCTTCCCAGGCTCCTCTGCAATCATTCTGGTTCTGCCACTTGGTAGCCATGTGCAAATCATTTAAGCTCTCCAGGACTCAGTTTCCCCATCTGCAGAATATGGACAATAAGTTCTGACTAACACCTCATAAGGGCCTTGTAATAATGAGGTTTTAATAACTTTAATTTCTTTATCTCTTCACAATGCACTATTCTCCCAATGGACCTTCAAGGTAAGTAGTATGGGTATAACACTGTGATGCTTCAGACAGCTGTGGCACTTAGTGGGTTGCCAGATATCCAACATCATTTCATTTGATCCTCCCACCTGACATGTGAGATAGGTGCTATTATTAGTCTCATTTTGCGGGTGAGGAAACTGAGGTTGAAAGATGAAAGTAACTAACTCAGGGTCACCCAAGCTCATTGTGATAGAGTAGCAGGAATACTGGATCAGGTGTCAGAGAAACTGAGTTCAAATTCTGGCTCTGCTACTTACCTGGTATAACCTTGCACAAGTCACTTCAGCTCTGTGGGACTGTTTTCTCATCTGCAATGTGAGGAGGTTGGAGCAGATGACCTCTGAGGACCCTTTCAGCCCCCTCCAGCTCTGATCCCAAACTGGACTCCATGTTTAGAATTCTTTTCTGAGGGTTCCTCACATTTTTTGGGCCCCTGTCCCCTTTGAATTTCAGCAAAACCTTCCTGTACTTCCTATTCAACATGAAAAAAAAGCTATTTTTAATAAGTATTTATTTTAAATAAAAGGTCCCTGCCCTGACAGTTAAAGACTAAATTAATAAGAATTTAAATGTCAATGTCTTGAATTTCACAGCAGCAAGGCAACAATTACATTCGGAGTTTTTGTTGTTATTCAGTTGTGTCCAACTCTATGTGATATCATGGACATCAACTGTGAGGTTTTCTTAAAAAAAAATAACTTTACTGTTTACCATGTACACACATATGGAAAATAAAATAGAAATTAAAATGGATTTTATTAGGTATGTAACAATGTTTAGTGTCGTAAAGTTAAGTGTTTATCAATTTATGCTATCCACAAAGTTCTCCCACTAACTCCTACTTTTGGAATATTTCAATAGTATATTATAGTTCTTGAGAGGCAGGGTGGTACAGTGGATGGGGAGCTATTGTCAGAGCCAGGGAGCATTGGGTTCAAGTCCTTACTCAGATACACGTTATCCATGTGACCCTGGATGAGTGACCCCCCTAACTTCCTAGTGCTCCACTCTCTAAGAGAAACCGGAGAGACTGTGATGCTTGGGATTTGTAGAGGGAAGTTCCTTATTAGGGAGTTCCCCAGACCAATGAAATCTCTGGTCCAGTGTATATCCTTATCCCAAAGTCTTTATCTGCCAAATATTCCACGCACCCCAAGTTGGGAACCTTTGCTAATATTGCAGGGTGGGAAAGCACACCATCTCTTCCGGGTCAGGAATCCGGCCTTAACTCTAAGACTAAGAGTTGAGTAAGTCTCCTGAAAACATCCAGCTAGAACCTGTTAACAGAGGACAAGAAGCAAGGTCTCTAGCCCAGGACGTGTGCTCTCTGCAAAGTAATATATGTGAGGGGCAGCTAGGTGTCACAGTGGATAGATCACCGGCCCTGGAGTTAGGAGGACCTGAGTTCAAATCTGGCCTCAGACCAAACACTTGACACTTACTAGCTGTGTGACCCTGGGCAAGTCACTTAACCCCAACTGCCTAAAAATAAAAATAAAAAAAGATAATGGATGTGAAAGTGCTTTGGAAAGAAGTCATCACCATCTAAAAGGTTAAAATGAGACTTTTATAAAACCCACTTCTGACACTTAATTGTATGACTGTGGGCAAGTTACTTAGATCTCTGAGTCTCAGTTTTCTCATCTGTAAAATAGGAATACTAAATAATATACTCCATATCTCAGAATGGAAAGGACCTCAGAAGTAGTCTAGTCCAATGTCCTCATTCTTTGAGGAAATTGAGGGACCAGAGAAAAATGACTTAAGACCTGTCTTCCTGTGTACTTGGAACTTAAGTAAGAAGAAGTAAGTAGTAAGAAGAGTAAGTAGTAAGTACTCTTTATCTCTTCACAAGGTACTATTCTCCCAATGGACCTCCAAGGTAAGTAGTATAGGTAGTAAGGAGTAGAGTAAGTAAGAAGTAAGTAGAAAAGTAAGTAAGAAGTAAGTAAGTAGTAAGTAGAGTAAGAAAAGGAGTGTTGCTTTTTTTTTAATCAGTTCTAGTTTTGTTTTGTTTTTCAAATTAAAAATCATTTCTTTTCTCTCCTTCCTCCAACTGAAAAGGAAAAGGAAAGATATCTTTGTTCCAAATATGCATAGTCAAATAAAACAAATCCCTACGTTGGCCATGCTCGAAATGTGTGTGCCATTCTGTATACTAGTCCTTTACCTTTCTGTCACGGCTTAGTTAGCGGGCTTCACTCTGGAACCATTGTGATTCAGAGTTCTGAGATCTTTTGTTGTTGTTGTTATAGTATAAATTGGCTCACATAAATCTTCCCAGGTTTCTCTGAAACTATCCCCTTCATCATTTCTTATGCTGCAATAATATTCCATTACATGCATGTAACATAATTTGTTCAATCCATTTCACAATTGATAGACACTATCAATTCCTAGTTTTTGCCACCATAATTGAGCTATTATAAATTTTTTTTAATATATAGGGCCTCTTTCTATTTCTTTGATCTCTCTGGGTTATCGTGCTAGTAGTAGTATTACTGGGTCAAAGTACATGCACCGATCACTAATCTTTGAATACCATTCCACATTGCTTTCCAGAAGGGCTAGACCCGTCACAGCTTCGCCAACTAGCGTTAATGTGTCAGTTTCCCCACAGCCCAGCCAGCATTTGTCATTTTCCTGTTTCGTCAACTTCACCAAACTGATGGGTAGAAGGAAGAACTCCAGAAATGTTTTAATCTGCATTTCTCTACTTTATTGGTGATTCAGAGTGTTTTTTAATATGGTTATTGATAACTTGGATTTCTTCCCTTAAGAACTGCTCTGCACTTCCTCCCCACCCCCACCCCCACCCCCACCTCAATAGAATGTAAACTCCTAGAGGGCAGGGACAGTTTTTTTGTCTCTATTCCTAGCACTTATAAGTCAGTCAGTCAGTCAGTCAGTCAGTCAACAAGCAAGCACTGTATCTGGCATATATCAGGCAGTTAACAAATACTTGTAGAGGCCTGTTTTTTTCCCCTAAAGAAGGGATAAGAAAATGCACGAAGTTCCCTTCATTACAGACACAGAGGACAATAACCATGGGATATTGTATGTGCTGTCAAACTCAGTTGATATATTGCTCAGTTTTGCAGAAAGGAAGCCAGGGAAACCAGGGTGAACATTTTGTCTAACCCCTTCTTTTCACAGGAGAGGGTCCTTATACCAAGGAAGGGGGAAATAATTTGCTCAAGAGATTAAGAACCCAGGTCCCCTGGCACCAGATCCTGCCTCCTCTCCTCCTCGCCTTCCGTAGCTTCTCTCAAGGAAGGGCAGCATCAGTGGAAGCACAACATGGGTTTGTCAGAAGGAGTTTGCAGTCCCTGGCCTTGATGCTGGGAGTTGCAGAGTTAATCTCTCAGCCATCCCACCCCCCTCCTGCTCCCCAGATCCCAGAGAGGCCACCCCAGGCAACCGGATGCAGAAGAGCATTTCCTGTTTCCAGCTCCTGATCCCGATAGCAGCATCAGCCAGCGCGTCTTGCTTCAGTTTTTGTATCCACTCCATCACCTTCCTGGGGCTCAGAATCAGAGGACTCCCTTCCTTCTACCTCTTTATACATTACCCTCTTGCGGTAAGCAATGCCTTCTGAGCTGGGCAGGTAGAGACTATGGCAGAAAGATAAGGAACTGAGGCAGCTGGAGACAAGGGGCGGTGGAGGAAGGCTGTGCAGAAAACAGTGTTATAGTCGAGTCCTTGTGTAAGAGGACCGCAGAAGGCAAAGGTGGGCGTGCCATTCGGATCATATATCAGAGGGGCCCTGGCCGGTCATCCACTATAACCTCCTCATTGTTCAGGGATTTGCCTAAATTCACACAACTAATTCATGCCAGAGTAGAACCCAGGCATCTGGACTCCCAGGGCCGTGCTTTGCTCCTTGGACCAAAACATGCAAGAATAGATCCTATTTATAAATTCTTATGAAAAGGGGCCTGGATCATGGAATGTCGGAACTGGGAAGGACCTTAGAACATGAAACACAGAATGTCAGAGCTGGGGAGGGACCTTAGGAAATATTTTGACCATAGAATATCAGAGCCAGGTGAGACTTTAAAAAACAAAACGTTAGAACCAGAAGAAACTGTAGGGCATAGAATAACAGAGTTAGAAGATACATTAGTACTGGGGTTCTACAGAGCCTGTGAATAGGTTTCTGGGTTCTGTGAATGTGGTTAAGAAAAAATTGCATCTTGATTTTCACTAACCTATAACTGAAATTGGGCATTTCCTTTAATTTAAAAGCATGATTCTTAGAAGGGGTCCACAGGCTTTAACAGACTGCTGAAGGAATCTATCACACACACACACACACACACACACACACACACACACACACACAAAGTTTAAAAACTGTTGCCTTAAAACATAGAAAATAGAACGCCCAAGGTGGAAAGTACCTTATAATATAGATGATCAGAACTGGAAGGAACCTTAGAAATCATTCCAAGTTCAACCCCCTCATTTTACAATTAGAAAACTTGAGGTCAGAAAGAAGTGGTTTGCCTGGGGCCATACAGCTAATAAGCGTCAGAGCTAGGATTTGAACCCAAATAGTCTGGCAAGAGCTTCGAGATGGCGCTGCAGTGGAGAGAGCGCTGGGCTTGGAGTCAGGAAGACCTGAGTTCAAATCTAGCTTCAGATGTTTATTAGCTGTGTGACTCTGGACAAGTAACTTCACCCTGTTTGCCTCAGTTTCCTCATCTGTCAAATGAGCTGAAGAAGGAAATGGCAAACTACTTTTGCCAAGGAAACCCCAAATGGAGTCATGAAGAGTTAGATACAACTGAACAATGAACAATGAATTGTCGAAGCTTCATGGAACACACTTTCTACAACACCACACAGTTTCTCTCTCAAAAGAACTGGACTCCTATTGATTCTGGATTAGGATGCCTGGGTACTGTTCCAACTTGAGGCATAACCTTGAGGAAGCCATTTAATTTCTCTATGCCTCAGTGTTCCCATCCATAAAATGGGAACCATGTTCTTTTACGTTGTTAGAAAGGCAAAACCAAAATGTAAGCATGACAGCATATTTGTTGTCATGTAAAAAGTCCTATGTAAATATAAAAGATTGACACTGATTACATCACCCTTTCTATCTGGACACTTAAAAAAACGACAGCAACCAAAACCCTAATATCAACTAAAAGGTCATGAAACATCACCTGGTCTTATCGCCTTGCACTTGGCAGGTTCTCAATAACTGTTTCTTAGGCGAATTGTGTCAGAAGCTGAAGCCAGATCCTTTGACTCCTAACCTGGTAGGTTTTCTCTATACACATTGCCATCCACCTCTCCTTCCCCATGTTGTCTGCTTGTAGATCATTCTTTTCTTCTCTCTCATCTCAGCTTTTTCTCTCTCTTCTTTCCTGGCTCAACCATCCTCCCCTGCTCTCCCCTGACCCCTGATTCATTTACTCCTGTCTTTTTCTCTGCCGTTCCCTAGGTACGGGGCCCATACTCCCTGACGATGCTAATATCTGAGAATGTAGCTGTGTACCTCTCCAAGGAGTTATGGCAACAATAGATCGCTATTTAAAGAGAATTCTACAGGGATGTTATGCAGGAGAATTAGTAAAACCTGCTGTGTTTGGGTGAGGTGGTATCTTCCTCTGGTAATGGAACTCAATTTTTACCTTTCCTCTGATGTAATTTGGGGCCAGATAAGAGCTCTGGTCTCCATTCCCCCAGCCCGATCGGTAATAAGATCTACATTCCCCTCCCAGACTAAAACACCAAAGTTAGCCCAGGGATGAGCCCAGACCTCCAATGGATCTGTACCTTCTTATCCACCAGATCATTTCCTATAGATCAGCCTTTCTTTTCTCCTATGGGAGCAATTTCCTAAAATGGTCTATGAGAAAACTGCTGTGAAACTATGTTTAAGAAACTGTTCTGTTATGCTCCAAATGTTTGAAAGCATTAAAGAAGAAAAATCTGGGGGGGGGGGGATCCTAGGAAGCCCCTTTAAGCAGTGGGTTCCAAACAACTTATAAAATTGCAGCATTTGCAAAGATGAGTTAATGAGTAATTAATATCTGTTAGCGTGTGTGTGTGTGTGTGTGTGTGTGTGTGTGTGTGTGTGTGTGTGTGTGTATGCGTGCGCACTTTAACTTTGTTAGGAAGCTTCAATAGAGGGTGACTCTACAATGGTTACCCATTACCATCCTAACTGTAAGAAACCATAACAGACCAGAGAGAATGAGATCTTTTTCTTAATGAGATTTTTTTCCTCTATATTTTCTGTTCTGGATGGAAAGAAGAAAGATAAAAGCTAAAGAAACAATTTAGAAGCCTAGTTAAGGAGCAGATAGCCGAGTTTTATGGACAGATAATTAGAAATAGCAACAGAAGGTAGATGCCTTTTGGGGGACGGGGAGGCAAAAGAAGAATCTTGTTCCTTTAAAGTTTTGAAGGCTGGAACAGAGCAAGATGAAGAGGCAAGTTTTGAAATGAAATGTTGCCAGAATGTGTCCAGAGCCTGGAATCATGGCTAGAACTTCAAGGAGAAACTTATTTATCTGAACAAGCGTCTGATCATGAGAAATGATTCTAGTTGATTTCAAAGGCAGCTAACTACTACTTAGCTTTGAAGAGCAAGCCAGGGAGTAGACTAAGTTAAGCAAAGGTTGAATTAAAAAGAATTGTTGTAATTAAAAAGGAGGTATCTATCCATGACTTCATATTTTATTTCTTTAAATTTTTTCATCTTATACTTTAGATGTAAATGTAGGTAATTAACATTTAATTAATATTCACATTTTTATTCTTATAAAACTAGTATGGATTTCTCTAGGAAAAGCCTAGTCAAATGGTTTCATCTAGTATGTTCTCTCATTCCTGTTAGATACACAAGCTTATCGCAAGTGGGGATTGTTTTGGGGTTTTTGTTCTTGTATCTCCAGCACCTGATGTTGTGTCTGGCCTATAGCATTAATAGGTGTTTAATAGATACTTGTTGATTGATTAATTGTTGCTTTTGGAGAAAGCTAAGAGACCTTGCTGTCTACCTAGTGACAACCACTAGAATTACAGAAATGACTCCTTGGAAAAAATAACCAGCCTCTAGGGTGAGAGTTCTAAACCTCAGAACAATTAATTTACTTTCTAAAAAATTTTTGATAACTGTATTTCAGTATGATTGATTTTGTTTGTGATATTACATGTCCTATTCCCTGCACTTGAAACCATTAGTCATACCTGGACAGTTGCTATAGTATGTTAGTGAGTCTGCCTGGCTCATCTCTTCCTACTCCAAGCCATTCTCCAAAAGTGATTTTCTGAAAGCACAGATCTGACGATGCCACTTCCTACTCAATAAATTCCAGGATCACATACAAAATCATTTTTTCACCATCCAAAGTCCTTCATAATCTCACCCCTGCCCCCCTACCACCACCACCATCACCTTTCTGGTCTTCTTACACGTTATATGCTTCACCAATTCTTTTCAATCAAGTGCCCCTGGCCTCCTTGCTATTTCAGGAATAAGACACTCCATCTCTCCTCCCCAGGCATTTTCTCCGACCGTCCTCCATGCCTGGAATGTTCTCCACTCTCATCTCCACCTCCTGGTTTCCCTGGTTTCCATCAAGTCCCAACTAAAATCCCACCTTCCACAAAAAGCTTTGGCCAACACCTTTTAATTCCAGTGTCTTCCCTCCAGTAATTATTTCCTATTTATTCTATGTATAGCTTGTTTGTACATCATTGTCTGCTGGTTGTCTCTCCCATTAGACAGAGCCCCCTGAGGGCAGGGAGTGTCTTTTGCCTTTTTTGCATCCTCAGCATTTATCATAGTGCTGGGTGCATTGTAGTTGCAGAACAAATGCTTATTGAGTGACTGACTGAGGCTCCATAGACTTTGACCGCCAAAGGGGTCCATGACACATACAAAAAAGGTTCAGAGCCCTAAGTCTAGGAGACTTACCTGACAAAGGTAGCTAGTTCCTGTGATAGCAAAGAAGCACCCTTTATGACAAAGACTTTAAAAAAAAATGGGAAGAAGAAAAGAGAAAATTCAGCAAAATCACCAAATATCAATACAAACTTACATCACTGACAACACATTCCACACCCATGGACTATCTTCCCCTTTACAAAGAAGCAGGAGAAGGTCTCTTGGCATATCTCTTCTTTGGGGCTAAGATTGTTCCTTATAATTTCATAATTTCACTTTCAACCAAAATGTCATCTTCAATTAAAAATTCAAATGAATTTTTCAATGTTCATTGGCATTTAAAATTTCAAATGAATTTTTCAATATTCATTTCCATTTAAAACTTCAAATGAATATCTTAATATTCAGGTCAATTTTGTGGTTGTGGTTTTTTCCATTTCCATTATTGTTGTCATCCTCCTGTTGTTTTCCTTTGTCAGCTTACCTTACTTTCTATCAGTTCAGGCCAGTCTTTTCTTTCCTGCATTCATCACATTCATCATTTCTTATGGCATACTAATGTTCCATTATATTCATGTACCACAATTGGTTTAGTCATTCCACAATCAATGGGCATCTACTTTGTTTTCAGTACTTTGCTACCACAAAAAAGTGCTGCTAAAAATATTTTGGTGTCTATGGAGCATTTCTTTTTGTCATTGATCTCCTTGGAGTATATTCGCCTAGCAGTGGGATCGCTAGGCCAAAGAGCAGGGACATTTTAGCCACTTGCCTAATTCCAAATTGCTTTCCAGAATAATGTTGTTCTTATTTTTAATAGTTTTCTCTTCCCATTTGTAAATATCTCTCTTTCCAATCCAGACTTCATCACTCAGATGGAGAAAGGCAAAAGAACATGGAATTGGGAAGGTGTCAAAAAAACAAACGATCCCAAGGGACTCCCCAGCTGGAACAGAACTTGGGAGACCAGGTGAGTCCTAGTAAATCCCTGAGTATTCCTTTGTGGGTCTTGCCTCCACCTGCTGTCATACATGATCACCTCAGATTCTCTATAGCCTAGAGCCTAGGGTGGGAGCCTAGGGTCGCAAAACAAATCCCCTTAATAAAAGGATTTGTTCTGTAAAACTTGGACTGAGTCAAAAGGCTGCACCCAAGGACCAAAAGGCCACATGTGCCCTCAAGGCCGAAGGTTCCCTACCCCCGGCCTAGACCAATCATTGCAAAGATCCTCCCATTCATAAACTTTCCCATTAAATTCAGGCAAAATTAGTCTTTTCTGTACCTATGGTGGGTGGATGACATAATTTGGACCTACAGGAGGGTTAGGAGGGAGCAGGGGAGCATCCAATTCTACAGCATTCAGTCCCCAGTACCACATTTTAGGAAGGGTGCTGATAAACTAAAACTTTCTGAGATGGACAGCTAGGAAGGTACAATGACTCCAGGTCATGCTATAGAAGGATCACTTCAAGTTTCTCCATTAAGCACATCCGCTAAGCACGGGCATCACCCAAGTTCCTATTGTAGCCCCTCTTCTCTTTTTACTCTATATTATGTTGGTACATGATCTTGTCAGCTCCTATGGGTTTAATTATCATCTCTATGTAAATGATTCCCAGTCTATACATCTAGCCCTAGTCTTTCTGCTGAGCTACAGTCATACATCGCCAACTGCCTCTTAGATATCTTGAAGTGGATGTCTAATAATCATCTCAAACTTAACTTGTGCAAATAGAACTCATTCTCTTTCCTTCAAACTCTCCTCTTTTCCATTATTAATGTTAACGGTGTCACTATCTTCCCATTTACCTAGGTTTGCAACTTTGGCATGATTCCTGATCCCTCACTCTGACCCCACATACAATACATTGCCAATCTTATCCTTTCCACCTTCCCAGCATCTCTCTCCTACACATCCTCTTCTCTCACCTCATGGAGCCACAACACTAGTTCAGGCCCTCATTATTTTTCTTTCTTTCTTTCTTTCTTTCTTTCTTTCTTTCTTTCTTTCTTT